GCATGTATTGTCTGTATGTGGGTAAGTGCACCCATGTCGTGCAATGGCCTGCAGAGGTCAGAAAAGGCTGTTGGGGACCCTGGGACTGGAATTACGGACAGTTGTTAGCTGCCATGTAGGAGCTGGGATTCGAACCTGGGTCTTCTGCAAGAACAGCCAATGTTCTCAACCGCTGAGCTATCTCTCCAGCCACAGTAGCGTTTTCTTTAGCATACTTGTCTTTCTCATCACTTTGTTTCTTAGCAGACATGGAAGAATCAAGGCCTTGTAGTTAAAGCAGCTGCTCATTTAGCAGCCTCTGCTGATCACTTCCTAACTTTGAGGCCTGGGGCACCAGAGGTGACCTCTCTGAACCTCTTCTGCAAGTAGATGTGAGAATTGAGCCTTGAATGTGTCAGGAGCTTACAGTAAACTGCCGGTCATATGGACTACTGTTTCTTGTTTCCCTCATAGTGATTTGAGCTGTGCCCACTTACCTTTAACAGTTTCTTAGGGTCTAACACTAGAAGGACATATGAATTATAAACTTTAATTGGTGGGTTTTGTTTTTTTAAGTATTAAATTCCCCATGTTTGAGTTTTCCTCATTTGTATTGACGTACAGATGGCTTTCAAGCTGGGTCTGAGCTACATGCCACTGGCAGAAGTAGGTCTGCATGCCCTTGAAGAGTGGTCAGTTCATGTCCAGAAGCATGTAATCCAGCCTTACTATAAAGATATTCTCCCCTGTCTTGATGGATATCTGAAAACTTCAGCCTTGTCAGGTAAGGTTTAGAAGACTTGGGATGTGTATCATAAATAAAATTGCAATGTGATAGTGAAGTAGGATTATTAGTATTTTTGCAGCCTGTGAAGTTTCAACACAGTGTGCTCAAACTGTGTTTGATTGGCATTTTTATACTCTCCCCCAGGTCATTTCAGTACAGTTAGTAGAACAGAAAGAAATGGACCTGAGACATTAAAAATATTTTTACTTTTACCTGCTTATAATAATACTGAAAAATTTTAAGTTATCAGGGACAAGGACTCTTTATAACTCCTAATTTGTACTGCCTTGTTAAAAACTTTGCTCAACAAATCAATCAGGAATTAAAACCATTGGAAAAAATATTTTTACTTTTCTAGTTTCACTTTATTTCTTTTAGTTTTTAAAATATAATGAAGCACTTACGTTATACAAGTAAGAATTTTAAAGAAGTCATCATAGAAGAAAAAAGTTAAGGAAAAGATTCAAAGAAAAACATCATCTGATTAACTTAAAATATAACTAGTCAAGAAAAGTAATACTTAGAATCAGTCAATATATGGATTTGCTTCAGCAAAGTTGAAAAGAGATGTCCTTACCAGATGGAAGGAAACTCTTTTGTTCGCTACCCACACATCTCAGTTAAGGTTTTGTGCCACTGTACCATTGCATGTGCTTGGATGCTGTGTGTGTGTGTTTAGACATACCTTTTTTGTGAGCCCTCTGTAAGACGCAGGCATTCTGGATCTTTACACCTCAATATTCCATTGTGAATTTTTGTTGTGCTCATTAGAGTTATTTACTTTTGTGTGTCAGTGTTTGCCTGCATGTATGTAAGTGCACCACCACATGTGTGCCTGGTGCCTGCAGAGGCCAGAAGAAGGCTTCAATTCCTCTGGTACTGGAGTTACAGATGGCTGTGAGTCCCTACCTTAGTACTGGGAACAGAACCTGAGTCCTCTAAAAAAAAAAAAAAACAGAAAGTGCTCTTAAATGCTGAGCCATATCTTCAGTCCCTTCATTGTTACTTCTTTTTACATAACTACAATTTCCCACTACCATAAGATAGCATTAGTGCAACCCAAAAGCTCTAGCCTCAGATAGCCTATGAAACAAGGAGAAGCACATGTACAGAATGATGCTTTGTAATCAATATTTCAGTATTTATATTTTTTAAAATTTTTATTTTGTGTGTGTGTATTACCTGTGTGTAGGAAAGTGCACCTGTGTTGTGCAATGCCCGTGGAGGACAGAAGGGGCTGTCAGATCCCCTGGAACTGGAGTTACAGACCGTTGTTAACTGCCATGTGGGTGCTGGGATTTGAACCCGGGTCATCTGCAAGAACAACCAGTGTTCTTAACCGCTGAGCCATCTCTCCAGCCCTTCAGTATTCTATTTTACTTAGGAATTATTTTTTAGTCATTGTCCCCACCTATAAATACTTGCTTTCTGGGCATACACAAAATCAAAGCATAAAATCATAGAAAGTTATGAATTAGAGAAACTAAGCAATTTCACTGGCCTGCATTTAGTCTTAAAACATCCTCCCGTAAAGTCTTCTGTAAAGCAATAATGAAATATGTAAATGCAACACTTTCCTGAACAGCTGAAAACAAAGCTGCCAGCCTGATGCCCCACCACCTTCGAATTCTGTAAATTTGACGAACACAGTCAATAAGGGCATTGCACAAACATGATTGACATGTACTCCTCAGGTCATTTAGGGTTCAGCACTGAGCCCTGTTTCCTATTCATGTTGCATTTTGTTGTACAGTATTTCCTTGGATTTCATGACTTGGACATTATAAACAATATAATAAACTATGAACATTGTGCATTGCAAGTCCATTTACATTCTTCTAATGTTTCTTCAGAATTAAATTCAGGTTATGGAGGGCAGAATTCCTCCCTTGGAACCTGTCCCAGAGAGTTTTCTCACTTTTCCTTGGTAAATCTACATTTACTTTGCTTAAAAGGTAGGGGTTAGGGGGCTGGACAGATGGTTCAGTGGTTAAGAACACTGGCTGTTCTTGCAGAAGACCCGGGTTCGAATCCCAGCACCCACATGGCAGCTAACAACTGTCCGTAATTCCAGTTCCAGGAGATCCAACAGCTCTTCTGTTCTAGTTTTCTCACTTTTCCTTGGTAAATCTACATTTACTTTGCTTAAAAGGTAGAGGTTAGGGGGCTGGACAGATGGTTCAGTGGTTAAGAACACTGACTGTTCTTGCAGAAGACCCGGGTTCGAATCCCAGCACCCACATGGCAGCTAACAACTGTCCGTAATTCCAGTTCCAGGAGATCCAACAGCTCTTCTGTTCTCCACGGGCATTGCATGACACAGGTACACTTACCTACAAGCAGGCAATATATACATACATACATACATAAAAACAAAATAATAAATAAAATATTAGCATTGCATGACACAGGTACACTTACCTACATGCAGGCAATATATGCATACATACATAAAAACAAAATAATAAATAAAATATTAAAAAAAAAGTAGGGGTTAGGGGGCTAGATGGCTCAGTAACTGGAGCTGCTTGCTGCCAGACCTGATGACTTGAGTTCAAATCCTGGGACTCACATGGTAGATACTACACTCATGCTGTGACATATATATACCCCCAAATAAGATACATTTCAGAAAAAAACACTGTATTGTTCCTGATGGAGGTTTCACCACAATAGTTTTAGTATTTTACCCGTTTAGCAGTTCTTCCCGAATTGTTTATTGCTGTGATAGTCACAAAATGGTAGTTTTCTACCTTCACTGTTCCTTTCATCCAGTTTGGCATTCTACTGGAGAAAACAGTTTTCTTTCTTGTTTTTTCCCTCTTATTAGTAGGAACTCATGGATTCTTAGGTTTTCAGGAGTGTGATTGTAAGATTTGGCTTGTCACAGATTTGGCTTGTATTTGAGGTGGGAGAACTAACTCCTGGCAGCACAATATGGTTATGATTCTTCTAAGTACCCAAGCTGGAGAGCCAGCCACTTCTCCAAGAAACTATGCTCTATTGATGGACGGTAGTATTAAAATGACAACCAGTATGAATATTTTCTGTTCTAGAATTTTAAGTGTTGAAATAGTCTAAATAACCAGGACTTTAATATTTCTGTTTGGCAGTTGTGGCATGAGTGTTATTTAAAATGGGTTTTTATTTACTGCTGATAGATGACACCAAGAGCCATTGGGAACCATCAGCACTTTCTTGGGCTACCCAGAAAGGATTTGATAGAGCTGTGTTGAAGCATCTGAAAAAGACAGTGAACGTTTCCTCAGTGAGAAATCCTTTGTTCTTTACCTTGAGTAGTGCAGAAATCAACTTAGGAGAAGCAAAAAAGTCTTCATTTAATATGTTAGTTTTGCGTACAACTTGGAATATGATATAGAAATAATTTTGTTATTTTAGCAATGAAAATATAATCTACATTTACTAATGGGCGTCTTGTCTTAATTTTGTTTTCTTGGTTGTCCTGACTCAGGTGTGTTTAGTTCATAGTGAAAGATGATGTGGCTCACATTCAGTAAGCAAGTCAACATTGATACTCATGTGTAAGACTAATTCATTTTTAAATGTCTCTGTATCAAGTTGAATTCATGCAATTTTCTTGGTTTCTTTGCTTGTTTTGCTTTGCACATTTGGTGATGTTTTATTGACTAGCTTTTTTGAGATTTGCTATATGGTGTAATAGGAAAAATAGGATGCAAATGAAGAGAACGAACTTAATTTGGAGAAAGTATTTTTGTTTGAAATAAAAATAAAAATTTGGTGAGTTCCAGGCCAGCTGTGGCTATAGGGAGATCCTGTCTCAATAATAAAGACCAAAAAATAAAAATTTGAAAAACTCAGCCGGGCGTGGTGGCACACGCCTATAGCCTCAGCACTTGGGAGGCAGAGGCAGGCAGATCTCTGTGAGTTCAAGGCCAGCCTGGTCTGCATAGTGAGTTCCAGGACAGCTGGGGTTACAGGGAGACCCTGTCTCAAAAAGACAAAAAAAAAAAATTGTAAAACTCATTGTTGAAACATATTAAAAATTCTAGGTTAGATTTATTTTATTTTTATTTATTTTTGGCAGCTTTTGACAAAGTCTCCAGAAACAGTTGTCTAAATTTTTAAATAATTTTATCACAGATAAACAGTGGGAAAAAATCACTTCAACAAACCTATAATTTCTTTAAATGGATAACAAGGCCAAAACTATTTTTGCACTGTTGGGGTTTATATTGTGGTGGGTAACACAGTTTGTTGTTTTGTTTTTGTTGAACATCTTAGTAACGCTTGCCCCTAGGCACAAATGCTCTTTACCTTCTTTGTGACTGGGCAGGAAGCATCCTTAGCCTGCTGCTAAGAAGCTGTCTGGAGGAAAATCCCTTAGGTGATGCTTTGAATTGTTCTGAAATAGCCACTTTCTTTTGTTTTTTTTTTTTTCAAATTTTTACAAAAACTTTATTGAGAATTTCATACATGCATATAAGGTGTTTTGATCAAATCCATGCCCACTCCCTCCCCTCCAACATTCCCCCCTCTGAAGAGCTAACCCTATAAACTTTTAAGGATTAGATACAAGCTCCCAAATACTTTTGACATTTTTGGCCTTGGAACAGAGTATGTTGCTAATAGGCCCAAGGACACGAAATAGCCACTTTCTTTATGGACACTGTTTTTTTTTAAAAATATTTTATTATATGTGTATAAGTGTATTGCCTGTATGTAAGGGCACCCATGTCGTGCAATGTGGAGATCAGGAGATGGAGTTGGTTCCCCTGGAACTGGAGTTACGGATAGTTGTTAGACGCCATATGGGGGCTAGGAACAAAACCCGGATCCTCTGTAAGAGCAGCCAGTGCGCTTAATCGCTGAGCCATCTTTACAGCCTCCATGGACACTGTTTTAATTGAAAACAAACAAATAAAAAACAACTGGCCACACAGGTTATTCAGGCTTGAGTGTTTGGCCAATATTTCCCCAAATGAGCAAAGTGAGCCTGCCACTTGAAGGACAACATCTGTTAATTATGTAACTAGCAGAGTGAGTTTGATAGCTGATCAATACTTAAGTCTCTTTCTCATAAGATTGATGATGACACCAATGAATGTAGTTTTTTTGCATACACAAAGAAATGTGTCAACATTTGGGAAATCTACTTAATCCAGTGAACCAGTATTTTCAGATGAGCAGTACATGAAATTGCCAGTTTATGCACAGATTAAAAAAATTGATTCTAAGTATAAGACAAATGAATAGATTTTAGCAATTATGTAAAAGTTCATTGATAAGGTTTCACATTGTACATTGTGATTAAGCCTTTAGGAAACTATTGGTAGTTCACTTTTAATAGAATATCAAAGAATAATCACAATTATCTGAAAGACTGTAAAACACTCCTCTATCTTCCATCTACACCTCTGTGTGAGCCCCATATCCCCCTGTGATCAGACTAAAGCTATGGGTACTCATGTGAAATGGGCTACCCTTCTAAGGGTTTTTGTTTGTTTTAAAAACTTAATTTTCATAAAAGTATGTCATTTGTTAATATGTCACTGGGTTAGTATTTTTAAAATAGTACCTGTTTTTACCGTTGGAATTTCTAATGCAAATTTTAGGAGTATGACCCAAATAATAGATAAGTTCTTGGGGAGTCCTGGTACTTCTTAAGAGTATAAAGGGTTCTCCCCCAAAATGGAACCACTGACTTTGAAAACTGGGGTGATATAAAACTTCTTTTATGGATTTTCAGTGAAATTAGTAGTACTACTGTGTAAGATTTAATTAATAGTTAGGAGACATCAACAATGAGTTTTCTTTCCTCTTTATTATATTTATTTATTTATTTATTTATTTTTTGGTCTTTTTGAGATAGGGTCTCCCTGTAGCCCCAGCTGTCCTAGAACTCACTACGTAGACCAGGCTGGCCTTGAACTCACAGAGATCCGCCTGCCTCTGCCTCCCGAGTGCTGGGATTAAAGACGGACACCACCATGCCTGGCTTCTTCCTCTTTATTTTTAAATTCATTTGTCACATGTGTATAATTATATGAATTTGCAGGATGAAGCACTGTCCTTAGAGGAAATAAGAATTAGAGTAGTACAAATACTTGGATCCCTAGGAGGACAAATAAACAAAAATCTTGTAACAGGTAAGCTTTTTCCTTTAAAATAATCTCTGTAGATATACTGGTACTTTTAATTTGAATATGTACTGGTTTCAGTCTGCTCTGGCATGCATCTAACAGTTTAAGAATCCTCTGGATCAACCCCAGTAACTATACATACTGTACATATGAAAAATACTGATTTTTCCATGTCTGTGCCCTATTCATTATTATTGCCATGGTAGTGATGAGCACTGGATTGGGCCGGCATAACATAGTATTCTATTTTGGATTTCTTCAGAGTTGGGCAGTTGCTGTTGAGGATGACCAGTTTGGGTTTGTCTGATCAATTTCTGAGTCTGCTTGTACCCCAGTATGTGCTTTCCACTTTTCATAGCAAGTTGAAGCCTGAAGTTGATCTACCTCAGAGAGTAGACTGTGTTTTCTCCCTCTTCTCCTCCCTCCCTCCCTCCCTCCCTCCCTCTCTCTCTCTCTCTCTCTCTCTCTCTCTCTCTCTCTCTCTCTCTCTCTTTCTCTCTTTCTTCATTTCTTTCTTTTTTTGAGATAGTGTCTCATTATGTAACACTGGAACTTGCTGTTTAGACTAGGTTGGCCTGGAACTCAAAGAGATATATCCATCTCTGCTTCCAGAGTGGTGGGATTAAAGGCATGTGCCACCATACTTTGCCTGTAGAGGATTTTAATCTTCTTTGTAGGCACGGCCTTCCTCCTTTAGGTGTGGTACAGACAGCCCCCAACCAATAGCAGACTTTTAGGTATTTAGGAAATTAGAATCTGTACTTGCAAAGTGGTTTTTTTTTGGTCTTTTTGAGACAAGGTCTCCCTATAGCCCCAGCTGGCCTGGAACTCACTATGTAGATCAGGCTGGCCTTGAACTCACAGAGTTCCGCCTGCCTCTGCCTCCCAAGTGCTGGGACTACAGGCGTGGACTACCACGCCCCGATTTTTTTTTCATTTCTCATTTTATTTTTTATTTTTATTTTATGTGTACGTGTATATTGCCTGCATGTGTGTGAGTGCACCCATGTTTTGCTTGGACAGAGAGTTCATCAGTTTCTCTTTCTTTCCTTTCTTTTTGTGTGGTATATGTATAGGTGTGACTGTGTGTATAGACACACGGGGGGTCTGTGCATATACACGTGTAGAAGCCAGAGGTCAATGCTCAGTGACTTTCCTCAGCTACTTGCCACCTTAAGGTTTTATGATTTATTATTGTTGTTGCTGATTGGGTGTGTGTGTGTGTGTGTGTGTATGTATGATGGCAGTGTGTGCATGTGCATGTGGAGGCCTAAGGCTCATTTTGGGAATCTTCTTAGTTCTCTGAGGCATTATTCACTGAGGCAGGATCTCTCAGTGGAACTAAGAGCTGGCCCATATGTCTAGTTAGCTATCCTGCTGGATCCAGGCACCCTCATCTGCCTTCAGCATTGAAATTACAGGCAGGCTGCCATGCCCACCCAGCATTTACATAGGACTGGGGATCTAAACTCTGCTCCCCACATTCGTACTCTATCCACTGAGCCATCTGTCCAGCCTCTTTAAAGAAATTTTAAAAAAGATTTATTTTTAATTATGTGTATGTGTGGGGGTATGTGCATGTGAGTGCAGGTACCTGCAGAGACCAGAGGCTTCAGATTTCTTGGAACTGGAGTGGCTTTGAGCTGACAGATGTGGATGCTAGGAACTGAACTCAGGTCCTCTCTAAGAACAGTATGTACTCTCAACCGCTGAGCCATCTCGCTATCCCATAAAGAGGAGATTTTTAATAAAATTTTTATTTATCTTTCTATCATGTATCTTAAGTGGCTCTCACTGAATTTGGATATTCCAGACCATTAGACTTGTTTAAATAATTTTCAGTAATTTAATAATAATTTTACTTAAGTTAAATTTAGAAATAAGCATGTAAGTACTTTCTAATATTCTTACATATCTGAAGCAGAAGAAAGAAGGAAACACAAAATGCTTAACTTAAAAGTTTAAAAATACCCCGATTTAACTAACAAGTGGTAGGAGGGAAGATCTTGAATGCAAACCACTCTTCTAACCCTTTTTTGTCAGCTGCATCCTCAGAGGAAATGATGAAGAAATGTGTGGCGTGGGACACGGAGAAGAGACTCAGCTTTGCAGTGCCCTTCAGAGAGATGAAGCCTGTGATTTACCTAGATGTCTTTCTGCCTCGGGTCACTGAACTGGCTCTTTCTGCAAGTGACAGACAAACTAAAGTAGTCTTTTTTCATTTCACTCCTGATTTATAGTGTATTGGTTTTAAAACATGTTGGTTAGTAAACAGATAATAGAAATTTTAGCCATTATAATATCGTTAATTTTACTATTTCTAACAGAAGTAGGTGTCATTGATAAATGAAATTTAAAAATAAATCATCTTAATAGATAACAATGTGGTAAAGCATTAATAGACCAAAATTTCTTCATATCAGAAAATCATAGTACAAAGTGTATTTAAAGTGATACTCAACAGATGTTTAACTGTCCCTTTAATTTGGGAGATTAAAAACAGATAATCCCAAATGTTAATACTAATCTGTAAACTTTAAAAAAAAAATAATTTATTTTTTTTTATTTTATGTGTATGAGTGTATTGCCTGCATGTACGTGAGTGCACCTGTGTTGTGCAATGCCTGCAGAGGTCAGAATTGGCTGGGACTCCCCTGGAACTGGAATTACGGATAGCTGTTAGCTGCCATGTGGGCGCTGGGATTCGAACCTGGGTCTTCTGAAAGAACAACCAGTGTTCTTAACTGCTGAGCCATCTCTCCAACCCCAATTTGTAAATTTTTATTGTATATCCAAAATATATTTGCTAAAGTGATATTTATAGATGGCAGCCAGGATGTGTAGCCCTAAATTGTGGCAGCTGAACTGTATTTCTTGTATTACCCTCAGAGTCTAAAGCTTTGAAATTTCAGTTTTTAACTCTTAAAAATTAAAGTGACAGAAGCATTAATTTTGTATAAAAAGAACTACTTCCAGTTTGTTTCTATTTGATTGCATGGTAGCACCCACAATAAAAGTTTTTCTTCTTTAATGAATAAATTTGAGGAAAGCATATTCTCTTGTAAATATGGTAACCTGGGCTTTGTTGAACTCCTGCTCCATTTTAGGTGGCAGCTTGTGAACTGTTACACAGCATGGTTATGTTTATGTTGGGAAGAAGCGCTCAGATCCCTGAAGGAGGTCAGGGAGTGCCCCCCATGTACCAGTTGTATAAACACACTTTTCCTGTGCTGCTTCACCTTGCCTGTGATGTGGATCAGGTAAGTCTACACCATTGCAAAAACTAAGAAAAGAATTTAACCTCAAGCTGGCTATGGTGATGACTCCTGTAATCTCAGAAATTAGAAAGGAGGATTGCTGCAAGTGCAGCCAGCTAGGGCTACATAGCCAGACCTCATCACACACAAAGTCTCTGCTCTCCTCAGTGGTCAGGAAAGCCTGCTTGTGATGGCTAATCTTGGTTATCAACCTGAGTGGATCTGGAATGAACTGAAATGAGAGACTTTCTTCATTAGA